CTGATGAAGGAGCTGCAGGACATCGCGCGGCTCAGCGACCGCTTCATCTCGGTGGAGCTGGTGGACGAGAGCCTCTTCGACTGGAACGTGAAGCTGCACCAGGTGGACAAGGACTCGGTGCTGTGGCAGGACATGAAGGAGACCAACACGGAGTACATCCTGCTCAACCTCACCTTCCCCGACAACTTCCCCTTCTCGCCGCCCTTCATGAGGGTGCTCAGCCCCCGCCTAGAGAACGGCTACGTCCTGGACGGCGGGGCCATCTGCATGGAGCTGCTCACCCCCCGCGGCTGGTCCAGCGCCTACACCGTGGAGGCCGTCATGGGGCGTTTCGCCGCCAGCCTGGTCAAGGGGCAGGTAGGGCTCCCTGCTCGGGGAGGAGCATATGCATCCCTCGTTCGGGAAGCGGGTCCGTGCGGGTGTTCGGGTGGGAACCCCAAAGGCGGCCAGCCCGCGGCTGACCTTGGCCAGGCCCGGGTGACAGGTCTCCCTGAGGACCTGGTGTCACCGGTGAGGCAGGGACACACGTGTTCGGCTCCGGGATCCCTTCTCGGGCAGGTGCAGCAGAGGTGCGGGGCAGCTTGGAGGGGCGAGGAGCACATGCATCCATCGTGTCCTCTCGCCCGGCTTTTGTTCCTCTGCTTTGCTCTGCCGCCTGTGGCACACCAGGATATCATGCCCTCGAGGGGGGCACCTCCTTCGCCCCAAAGCAAAAGGGGCTCTCCGGGCTCCAATGGGGTTTGGGATTGGAGCTTCCCGTCTCCTGCCCTTCACTAACAAGTCGGCCATACTCGCTGGTTTCTTGCGTGCAGTGCTGCCGCTGGCGGAGCTGGAGCTGCTGCCCCCAGGTCTTTGTCTGTGCTGTCCCGCATAGCATCCCTAGGGAAAGAAAGGGCGACCCGGCTTTGGGGCTTGGCACACCGGGCTGAGCTGTGTTGCGGGGTCACACCAGGAATCTCTGCCTGAGCTGCTGGAAAAAGTTGTGCCGGTTTCAAATCGTCCGGCCCGAAAGGAACAAGTAATTTCGGGTATGTACTGCAGCTGCAGCAGCTTGACGATTCCTGCCATCTCTCCTCTTCAAAGGAGGTGATCGGGTCCCCCCGGCAGAGGATCTCGTCTGAGCTGAATCGATGCGTTTTATGTGTTTTTTTTTTCTTTCTCTCCTGCAGAATATCTTTAGAAGAGAAGTATTCCAAAAGCCGTTTTTAATAAATGGGTAAACATTGCTGGTGAAGCTCGTAGGCAGTCCTTCTTTATGGTTATTGTACTGGGCAATGTACACATATCTGTGACAGAATGGTTTTCCTGTTTGTGAGTGCCCTTGAATTCAGGGGACATGCACAGCTCCGTGTCTCTCAGTAAATGATCTTAAGTAACTTATTAAATTTGTATCTTTGCAAGTAGGTGGAAAAAGAGTAAATAATAACGTATGTTTCATTTGCTTAAAAGTGAGATTACTGCTGTTTCTTTCTGTGGAACTGTTTGCATGAGCAGAATTAAAGGCTTGGTTTTTCTTAAGACTGAAAATTAATTTTGATTTTTCAACAGGCTCTTTTGTAAGTGGCTTTTCCTCCTTTTTAACTATTTGATTTGGGCCTACTGCTCCTTTTTTAATCAGATAGTATTTTTCTCTGCACTTCATTTGAAGAGGTCAAGTTTCCTAGGTCACCTTGGGATATAAAAACATCTACCGGAAAAAAAAAAAGAATTTTAATCAACACTGAGTTTGGTGTATGTTGAAGTTCTGTAGCTACTCTTACTGCATCTTACTGTTAACCCATCTCTTTTTAGAGAGGCCATAGTTCTTGTTATTTTTAACACTAATTTAGAAGGACAGTGCTAAATTCTCTCCGTTTTTTGAACAATTCACCCCTTTCTGCAGTGTTGAATGCTAAAGGGGTTAAATTAAGATTCACTGGGATCATAAAATGGCTCAGTGAAGATAAGCACTGAATTGTTTTATTAGTCATAAATTCTCAGCTATATAATCTGACAATTTTCTTCCCTAAACCACTTAAGAGATTTTCAGAAAGTAGTAGCAGTTTTTGATAACAGAAGATGTTTATGTGTGCATCATTAATGAACACATTTAAAAAGCAAGGGTTCCAATAACATTCTACCAGAAGTTTACAAAGTCAGTTATAATGAAAAGAAAATGTGTGTGGGATAAAAAAAAGTCAGAAATAAATTGCTCAAAGTAAATGAGTAGTTAAATAGATATAACATGCATGTTTCAACCTTTCAGATTGTTCATTCCACTTGCAAAGGTTATTAGGCAATGCTGTCAATAAATTTATTTTCTGGGTTAGAGAGGTGTCGCCTGTGATGGGTTGCTGGCCTGTCACCGTAGCCGGGCTCCGTGTCATGGGAGCCACGTTTCTGTAATTGCACTCCCCTCGTTATGTAATCCCCACTCCATTGCATAATAGGGCTCGAAATACGACTGGCGCTCCCCTATCCTCGTTTCATTTTACAGGTGATCTAGTTTTGACCATTTAGTTTTTGAAAATGAGAATGGAGCTGATGGAGTGTCGGGGGCCAGGGTGTGCATTCCCCAGCACTGCAGGGCCAGGTTTGGGTGACTCCTGCCATGCCGTGGGCAGTCCTGGTGCCTGCAAGGAGCTGTCCTGAACAAATAGCAGTGGCTGTCACCAGCCAAATTCTGTAATTTCTGTAAGCAGCCTGCACTCTGGAATAGCATAAAATATTCAAGATGCTTGCTGTTAATCAGCAAGGCTGGAAGGGTGAGGTCCGCTCTCCACCGCTCTCCACCACCTCAGAACGACCCTGCCTGAGCAAATGGCAGCAGCCTGAGGCTGAGTGGGAGATGAGGCACTGCCACCGCTGGTGGGTCAATGGGACCTTCCAGAGAAATGTCACCGGTTCGCAGCACCATGATTTAGCATGAAATCACTGTGAATACTCCAGCCTGTGACGCATCCAAAAGTGCGCCTCGCTGGCATAGGCACCAGCGTGAGTGAGCAGGGCTGAATGTCTCACCAGCACACCTTCCTCCTTCTGGTGATTCAAGTGATAAAACTAAGGTGATTGATTTCATGCAATGTTTCTCATCAGTCCAATTTTGCTGAACTAACTGCAACACTGCAGTTCTCTGCTGGTTCTTCAGAGAGAAACACAGCACTTCTTGGTCTGTTATTAGAGCTAATAGTAACTATAAACATGTATGACCTTCTGCTTCTTGACAAAATGATCAAAAAGCAGATAAAACTAGCATTGAAAATACGTTTTCAGACAGTCAAGATTCTTGACAAATGCAGATGTTTTTAATGGATTTCACAGAACTTTGAGCAGAGTAAAAGAGAAATTGAGATAAGTTGTTCTGACATCTCATGGGATGTCACTCGGAAGTTGTGTCTGTAAGGAGACATAAGCATGCAATATAGAAATTAAGTTAGCACTTTTTCAATACTTTTCAGCATTGCCCTCATATGTGGGGAAACATGAGTCCAGGTTCCCAAACCTGAGCATGTGTCCCAGGGACTGGATTTAAAGCAGAGCATCTCTTTCTCTAGATTTAACCAAGAAGGAACCATATGCCTCAGGTGACCTTGCTTAAGAGATGTCCTACCTTATGGGATGCAAACCCTTGCTTCCTATCATGAATCTACTATTGCATTTTTAGATTTTTTTTCCATAAAGAGAAATGCTTAAAATGAGAGATTATTTTTCTTTCAATATAACAATTAAACCATCCAAAATTTACCTTTTCTTTTTCCAAGTTTTCAAGGAAAAAAATGTTAATTAACAAACAAGTTGGGGTTTGTTTGGTTGGTTGCTTCAGTTATTCAGCTGAGAAAATCAATTATTCACACAGCTCTAGTCAGTATCTTGAGGGGAATTCTCAGTACATCAAAGGCCGAAGACTGTTTATCTGTCTGGGATCCAGAATCTTATTTTAAAAAACTTGGTGTTGTCCTTAACTCAACTGTAGCCTTGCTTTTAAAGGGGTGACTTTGTACTTGCTTCCTGAACAGTCAGCTGCTCGCTGGCTCCTGTCATCACAGGCAAAAGCTTGGCCCTGCTGAACCAGCGATGCAGATGCAGTCGCTTGGAGCTGCTGCTTTGGAGCCAGGGTGCCAGCCAAGGAGGTGATGCTAATGAAGTAATTTAAATACCAGTTGTTTGTTGTCCTGAGGGCAACTGTTCAACATGCCTGTCTAGGCAGAGCTTTCCATATCTTGTCTGTCTGTCATCCGGGCCATGGAAGTGGCCCATTGAGTGTTATTCCTTTTTTAGCCCTTTAAAATGGTTTATTGATAATTTAAGAGAGAGGTTTAAAAATTAGCCCATTGGTCTCCACTTCCTCATAATGGTGTAATTGTTACAACAATATCGATAATTGAAGGAAGGGGGAACAGTGTGGGTCATGGGAGAGGACTGGAACAGCAGGAAGTTCATCAAGGCTCTCATTGAGTGACAACACACATGATTGAGACCAGTGCCCATGTTTCAGGGAGGAGCTGTCTGTCTCCTTTGAAAACGTGGTGGATGATGTGGTCCCAAAGGAAAAGGAGCAGACTGTTCAAAAGTGGGAGAAGATTTTGTGTCTTCTAGTAGACATATTGTTTCTCACTGGAGAAGAACGATTTGATGCTGGTTTGGTGGAAGTTTAAAAGAGGACAAAGCTATGTATGCCAGTGTCCAAATAATGCATCAGGAATTTTTTTCTTTTTTCGAGAGCAACAAACAGAGCTGCACCTGATGCCTTGGGGACTTTTGACTTAAGCTTGCAGTAGTGCTGACCAGTGCCTTGTCCTCTTTTTACGAGTCCCTTGTTCTCTCTGTGGAGGCTGGAGACAGAACTGCCAGCCAAAAGTAGCTGTCAGGTAACTGGTGACTCTGCAGATTATGTCATGGAAAAAGGTCTTCATTTTGAGGGAAGTACTCTCTTATTCTTCCAGTGAATAGAAGGAGCATTAAAATTTTTCCAGGATTCTTCCAGGGAATAGAAGTACCGTAAAAATTTTGCTAGGTCATACTAAAAGAGGAACAAGGAACCCCTAGTTCTGAGTATTCTTGCTATTGTGGGCTTCTGTATAATGATTTAAATAAAAATCAAAAGATAGTTTGTAGTTAAGCTTTAATTCTGTATCAGAAAAGTTCCTGAATTCAAATAAAAGTTGCTGGTATCGAGTACTTTGATCCCTCACATTGTAGCATTAGAACTACCACAGTGGAATCGTGTTCATTTACCTCAAATGGTATATGCCTTTTATTACTATTGAATGGATTTATCTTTTCATTTTAAAGATACGAATATCCCAGCTGACTTCTACAAGATTGAAACAGGAGAAATGGGCTTATTTTATGAAAAACAGCTACAGAAGGTAGCTGTT